GGAAGAGCCACTCAAGGGCCAAAGAGCCGCATGTGGCTCGCGAGCCGCAGTTTGCCGAGCCGCAGTTTGCTGACCACTGGCCTAGTGGGATCCAGGGCTGTCCCTGCAGCCAACAGAACCCAGCTTCTCCCGTAAAGCACTGTTTGTAGAGACACATTGCCCAGCTTCCTCTGGGCTCAGTGGGCCTGGCCATCCCAGGACGGATGGACCAGATCTCATCCCCAGAGCAAGGGGCTGGAAGTTGCCCAACCCCAGGTCCCCATGCATTTGCACCCTAGCACACTCACTCGTAGAGCTCCGAGAACTGTTTGTGCAGAGAGACAGAAGTGATGTCCTGGCCTCGCAGCCTGAGCCGGCCCCACTGCTCCTTCAGCACCTCCAGCTGCTTCCACAGCACCAGAAACGATCTCAGCAAAGCAAGGGACACCACTGCCTCACACGGGCCTCCCAGATGCCCGGGGGCCTTTGGGCTGCTCTGGAACTGACTTCCGAATCCTGACGCTCTGGGCAAATTTGCCTGAAAACATTGCAGAATTCCTCTTTATTGATCATGGACCAAGACAGGATAAACTTTTACCTGCAGCCCTGGAAGTCTTTGCAGAATGACTCTTCTCCCCAGGAGGAGGGGTTTAGGGACCTGCAGCACTTGTAGGACTTACGGAAACATTCTTCCGGGACTGACAGGAGAGGAAGGCCTCCATTTCAGCTTTCTGCGTGAGTCTTGAACCACTCATTTTCACACCTTTCGTACTTGGGTACTGACATTTTATCTCCCTTTGGAAAATTAAGCCTATCACGTTCAGCCTCTGCGTTCTGGAAAGTGCTTGTCAGCACACTCGAGATTTAACTCCACACATGGGAGAGCAATAATAGAACCTTAAATCGGGGATGTTGCCCATTGTATGGGTAAGGAAATGGAAACTTAAGCCTATCTTACCTCCTGTTCCTTCTACCATCCTTTAAAAGGCAGATAGCACTTTTAAAGTGTCTCTTAATTGGAATTTACTATTCAATAGGAACTTTTACTTTAAAATTATGATTTGTTCATTCATCTTTTTGTGTTTTTCTACAGTAAGTGTTTGTTAAGGGGCTGCTATGAGCCCTGGAGGGAGAGGAGGAAGAAAGGGGTTCAGGTCCCTGCTCTCCTGTGACCAGTGGAAGGACAGACAGAATGGGACCTGTATCCAGGCCCTCAGTCTGACAATAGTGACTCAGTCACAGGAAAAGGAACTTTCCTTTGCAAAAGAAAATGGCAAATTTGATCACGATGTTATGACAAGAAGGGCCTCAGAGAACAATCAGGTGTTAGCACCATAGGCAGAGTTTCCTGGGTAGGAACAGGAAGAACAAGCACCTGGTGTAACTGGATCCTCCAGCAGTGCTATTAACATTTGAAGGAAGGCATGGCTGCCAGAAGAGAGTGGGTTAGAGGGACAGTTGGCAAGCAAGACCTGGGGCAGAGTGAGCTCCTGAAGACAGCTGGCAACCCCTCAACCTGGTAGCCTGCTTCCTCAACAATCAGCTAATCTGTGCATTTCCAGATTTATTTAATCTCCAGAAACCTTTTTGTCCCATGAAATTGCACGCAGTAGCCCCAAATATCCAACAGACCAGGGCCAAACAGGGTGATAGGAGGTGCAGCCTACAGGCCACAGAGTTGGCCCCTCTGTTCAAAAACCCCCAAGGTGCCTCTGAGGAACCCAGGGCTTCTGGGACCACAGTTTTAAAGGCCCTGAGCTAGTCCATCACTTTCCCTTTGGAGGTTTAGATTGAAGTCTAAGAGATCACAGAGCTGATGGCATAGCAGAAACAGAGAACCCAGAGTCATAGCTCACAGGCAGCATAAATTCCAGTGTTTACTATTGTCTAGGATAGTTACATACTCTTAAATAAAGCAAGTCATAAAATAAAACTGATTAGAGTAAACAATAATTTTGAAGCAAACTCACCGTGTTAATATATAGTTGTCACTTGAACAACATGGGGGCTAGGGGCACCAACCCCTGCGCTGTGAACTTAAGTTGAATCGAGATGGGAAACCCGAGGGTAGAGGGGGCTATCTGTACATTGGAAAAGCCCGTGTATAAGCAGACCCGTGCATTTTCAAACCGGTGTTTTTCAAGGCTCAAGTATTCATATTAAGAGAAGCCTTCTTTTCCTATGTGTTTTAAAGGATAGGAGGAGGAATAGGAAGCAGGATAAAGAACAAGGTGGAGGAGTCAGGGGTGTTGGGGAACAATGGTAATCCATCAGAAACAGGGCCGAAATATGGTAAAGAGAGGGACCAAAGGGTCCAGCATGCTTCTTGATCTTGGCATTATTTGGTCTATACCCAGCTTTGCAAATGCTCCTCCGCAGTGAAGCATCTGATTCTATTGTGAAATTTAGATGGCGCATCTAAACACACTTCCTTTCTCACCAAAAGGTCTGAAGTGGACCTGTTACTCAGTGTTAGTAAGACACAGGAAAGTCAATTGGGGGGCGGGGGTGTCTGGAATGTTTTTTCCTCCTTGATAAAAAGATAAAGCCTCCTAAGGAGAAAGCTTTTTGCTCCTCTTTTCATTTTACAAGGATGAGGGAGGCATTTGCTGACACACCAGGATGGCAGAGCTGGGTGCCAGCACCTGAGTGACCTACCTCCTTCTAATCTTGTTTTGAAAGATTCACACACTCCTCTAATTTAAGTCATGGCTAGTGGGACAACCTGTTATTTGCTTAAAGATGGAAGATCAGAAAAGGCGTTCAGAAAGCTGGTTTGGAAGTTGAAACCTGAAGGATAAGTAGGAGTTTATATTGGATGATGAGGCAGAAAGTGAGAGAAGAAGAAATTTTTCCACCAGAGGGGCCAGCTTGCAGGAAGGTACTGAGAAGAGAGCGCATGGTGCGTTTGTCAACATGAAAGAAGTCGAAGGTAGAAATATTGGCAGGAGTCAAGTTGTGAAGGTCTGGTTAAGGCATGTGAACTCTAGTCTTAAGGCATTTGGAAGTCCTTGATGGATTATAGGAGGGAAGTGACATAATCAGGTTTTCATTTTTAAATATTATCTTAGTGACTAGAGTGGAAGGAAGCAAGAGTGAATATAGGGGGTCCTATTAGAGGTTATGATCATAGCCCTGCATTAGGAGGTGATGATTTGGACTGGTGGATGTGTGGTAGTGAGGGAGGATGGAGAAAAGTAGACAAACTTGAGAGATATTAAAATAATAAGGTATTAGCCTGCCGGCATGGCTCAAGGGTTGAACATCAACCAGGAGGTCATGGTTTGATTCCCGGTCAGGGCACATGCTCGGGTTGTGGGCTTGATCCCCAGAGTGGGGCTTGCAGGAGGCAGCCGATCAATGATTCTCTTTCATCATTGATGTTTCTATTTCTCTCTCCCCCTCTCTCTTTCTCTCTGAAATCAATAAAAATATGTTAAAAAATAATAGGATAGTAAACCTTGTGTCTGACTATAGAGTATGACAGAGAGAAGTCAGAGATGGGTGTCCAGATTTTTTGGTTTGGACAATGGGGCAGGTGGTGGTAAGTTGACAGTGAATATGGAAAGAGGAGCAAGTTTTGGGCAGTAAAATGAGCTCAGTTTGGGACACAGTTTCTGAGATGGAAAAGGTAGAGATGTTTCTGAGATGGAATAAGGCAGTTGAACATGTGAATCTGATAGGATGATTTGGACCGGACATGTAGATTTCAGAGTCATCACATGCAAAGTCATCAAAGTCATAAAGGTAGATAGGTGTGGCTAGGGACAGACAGGGTGGGGCATGGAGCAACACAGTGGCTAAGAGTAAGAGGGAGCTCCAGGGCCAGACTCTTAGGTTGGCATCTGGGTTTGTCTCCTCACTAGGCATGTGATTTTGGGCACATCACTTAACCTTGCCAAGCCTTGGTATTATCCGTAAAAGGAGAAAAATGAAAGTGCCTATCTCATAGAATCATTGTAAAGATTAAGGAAATTAATAAAGCAGTCTGAACAGATCCCAATCACAGCAATAGTAATATTCGGAGGCAACTTATTGATTAGATACAGAAGGCACAGTGCCTAGGGCCCACAAAATATTTTAATTTCTTTTAAAGTAATAGAAAAAACATTTAAGTTGAAGAAAATATTTTAATAAATGATGATGTTAACATATATATTTTTATATTAACATAGTTGTAAACTGTAACTGTTAATTGTTTTTATGGAGGAAGGGGCCCACAAAGTAAAAAATGGCTGGAGCCACGCAAGTCAAAATGCAGCCCTGGTGGCAGTAGTAAGGAGATGAAACCCAAAAGAAACTAACATTTTTGAGGTTGGCAGAGGTAGGTGAGTCTACAGAGAAGCCTGGGAAGGCACGGCCAGCAGGAAAACAAGGCGAGAGCTGTGCTATAGAAGCTCAGGGAAGAGAGGCTTCAAGAAGGACACACCGTGTCAATGCTGCAGAGGGGTCAGTTGGAAGGGGACTGAAAAGTATCCAGAGGATTAGTGACAAGGACCCTGTGCTCTTGATGACGGTGGGCTCAGTGGTGAGATGGGGAAGAAGAGAGATTGCGGTTTCTGAGGAGTAGATGGAAGGTAAGGAAATGAAGATGGCTGGTGCATGCATCTCTCAGAACATTTAGCTCTTGAGGGAGGCTCTTTAAATAGGGGCCCCAGCTAGCTTATCCTGTGTCCAGACAAGTCTCTATCTGGTCCCCAGACACATGCAGAATTGTTTCAAGCTATGATGCTAGGTGGGCTAGTGGCTCTTGGCACCTTAGAGTTTCAGAGGGACACGTCCGAAGGAGGGAGTGCTTGCTTAGGAGTCCACCGGGTAGTTGAGTGATGATGCTCACCCGGGTCCTTCCAGCTCCAGCCCTAAATGTGTGACTCACAAGGAAAAGCAGCCAGCAATGGAGTATTTGTTCTATTGGTTTCAATGGACCTCTCAAAGCCTTTGTTCTAGTTTTTTAATTAAAAGAAATGGATATCCAACTGATCATGGGACTTACTGTGAAAGACAATACCTTAGAGTGGCGTTCACAGGCTAGTGCTGCTTCATTGCTCCTCCTGTGCAGCATTAGCCCAGTCCTGGGACCCACTAGGAGAGGCCATGGGACAGATGTGGCTTTCTAGTCCATCTCCAAACCAGGAAGGTCCTTTAGGACAACATAGCATTGGCCAACTATGTAGGCTGTTCACCAAGAATACCTGCGTATTTCTGTCTAGTGTGCCCTGCCGTCCTGGGGGGCCCTCCGCGATCATATGATAACTACTCAGAAGTACATCTTCCATTAGCAGTTGCATGTCCACCAGCTCTCCATGAGCCACCTTGAGGTCATGGTCACCCAACCTACAGAGGCACAGCTAAAAACAAAAGAGAACAAAACAAAACAAAACAAAAACATCCATTTTGAAGACTTCTATGTATCCTTTATGCATAGCTTTTGGGGAGAAAACTAGAAATAATTATGTTTACAAGCCCTGACTTCTCAACTATTAAAAAATTCCATAATAATCAGAGTACCATTTCTAGCTCAAAGTCTTCTTGGAACATATCAGACTTTTGGCTCTGTATGGAAGTCCAAGTTTCCCAGCCCTTACAGTGGTGTCTGTACATGGCGAATGTATAGTGTGATGCCAATTTTCCTTTAAAAGTACAGATACAAACACATGTATGCATAGGGAAAATACTGGGGAAAAATAACCCAAAATGTGAAGTGAATTGTGATTGTCTCCTAGTGGGAGGCTATAATTATTTTTTTAACATTCTTACTATTTTACTTAGAAAACCCACACTTTTTGACTTATGGAGAACTTTGAGCATATGCTATTTTGAAGCAAATTTATGATTGATTTTCATGTTCTTATTTTTTTCTATATTTAAAAAAAATGATTATTTGCTTAAATAATCAGGGGGAAAACACATAATTGAAAAAATTCTCTGCATGAGTTCTGCTTACAGAGTTCTCTTCCTACCACTGTTCAGAGATGGGTCAGAAGTCACATGTCTCTGAGCTGCCAGCCTGGGTGTTTCTCTAAGAGGCTCAAAGAGTGACTGGGAAAGGCTGGCCGCTCTTCCCGATCATTATGGGCCATGGGAATCTCAGCTGAGTTTACAACCAAGGCTGATACCAGCTCAGACCAGGATTCTCTTTTGATGTAAGAGAACATGTTTCATCTTACAGTCATTGGGTTTACAGCCTCATTATAAAACACCCTGGTTAGCTCATAAATCATTCACCACTGGCTAGAGGGTGGAGGATCTGACTTATGGCCCAATGACACTTGCTTTGCAATCTGTATTCAGTTACTTCTGTGACAAGTGGGAAGACCTAGCCTACCTGCATATTATATTCCAGGGTATCTGGGCTGCTACTAATAACTGGAAATGGTCCTCCATCTTCTAGAAATGCTCTCCAAGGGAACAGCACAGATGCCTTAAAAAAACAAACAAATAATAAATGTGATAATGCTGTACTGAGTTCATAAGTAATAGACATCTGTATATGAACAGGATAACTCTGTCTGCACCCCAAAGTACTGTGGGATGATTTATTTATTATGTAGAAATAGTTCTTAATGTATTGTCCCTAATGATGTAGAGGAGAGAGTTATAATCTCATTTTGTTAAATTGATTTTTCAGAAAGTGGCTAAACACAGGATACTCAAGACTTCAGTGTAACTAGTCAGAACATCGTTTGAAAGTTCCAGAACAGTATAATACCAATGGGACATATTTATAATCAACAAAGTAAACTTACTCAAATGTTCTCAATACTAGGAATCTTAAAAATTTGTCCTTAATCACCGTTGTGATTCAATTCTAGGTAACAACTCAAAATCAATGCCACAATGTTACACTATCTTTTCCACATCACTGTCCAACAGCCAAGGCACCCGCTACTCCTTGTAGCACCACAAGCAGCCCTGGATATAGTGGACCTGTCCATCTGACCCCATCTGACCCCATCTGACACTTCCAGACCTGGTACTGGCTTCAGACAATTCCTAGATCTGGAGTTGATTCAGCTGGCAGGGAGTCAAGATACCTGTATCCGCCTAATTCCAGGTGACACCCAGAGGCAGAAGGAACACACCCAATGGTCATGGTCCAACCTTGTCTTCTGGGTCTAAGAGAGGGTCAAGGCTTGGGCCAAGAGTCATTGTCTTACAGTATAGCTGGGGAAGGTAGAAGCGTGAGACCTCCATGGGGTTGATGTGGGCATTACTACATAAAAACATTAGGCTGGAGGTTTTGGAGTCAAAAGACCTAGGCTTGTGAGGTGGTTTGAAAGGTGTCCACCAATTTTTTGCTACTGTTCCCATTGAGAGGTGGAGTTTAACTCTTCTCCCCTTGCTGTGTGATGAAATTAGTGACTCGCTTCTATGGAATAGAATATGGCAAAGGCGATGCGATGTCTCTTCTGAATTAGGTAATAAAACGGATGTAACTTCCATCTTGGGTTCTCTCTCTTGCTCTCTTACATCGTTCACTCTGGGGGAATTCCCCTCCAGAAGAACCTTGAGGTGACCACAGCAGGCCAACACCTTATTGCAGCCTCATGAGCCAGAACTACTCAGCTGAGCTGTTCCCAAACTCCTGAGCCCCGGAAGCCATATGAGATTATGACTGTTTATTGTGTTAATATGCTAAGTTTTGAGGTAGGTTTTATGCAGCCATAGATAACTAATACAGTTTGTGAGCTAGTGCTGCCATGTCTACCTGGCAGTCTGATCTCTGGGCTTCCTGAACCTTAAGTTCTTTCGCTGTAGAAGGTGGGTAATATTGTTGGTGCCAAGGAGCAATAATAGTGGCCAGGATGACATTTGATAGCTCCTCCTCCTCCTCCTCCTCCTCCTTTTCCTCCTTCTCCTCCCCCTCCCTCCTCCTCCTCCCCTTCCTCCTCCTCATGTTATAAGCAGGGCTGTTCAAAACCCAGCTGCTGCCTAATTTATGTATTGTAATTGCTATCATTATTTATTAAGTGAAAAAGATCAAATGTTGATTTTGCCACCAGCTGTGAGCAGATAAGTTTTGTCCCAATGAGCCTGTTGGGCAGTTTGGAGTTAAAAACCCTGACGGGGATAAGAGCTGGCCTGGCCGTGCGGGCCACACTGCTCTTCCCTGTGAGCGAAGGGAAGCCAACCAAGACGGGAGTGCATGACAGCTGGAGAGTCCCTGTGATATTTAAACCAAATGGAAACAAAGTGACAAAATCCCCTATGCACAACACGCCTTTTACAGGTATAAAATACCTCTCAACACACCTGGGGGCTCTGTGGATCCAGCGGCGGGGGCAGGCTGAGCTGTGAAGCAAAAATGCTCTTCACCAGTGCGTTGCTCAGCGGTGGCAGCCCGTGGCACGAGCCGTCATTGACAGACTGGCAGGCAGGCGCATTCCCAGCTGTCAGAAACGTTCTACCAGAAAATGGAGGGAAGCTCATGAAAAGCAGTTACTTAAGCTTCTAATACTCAAAACTTCCTTCACTTATGTTAGCAAGATGAGAGACGTTAATGGGTTTCTTCCTCAGTGACCTCAACACTCACCCTTTCTTTACACATCACCCTTCACTCCCACAATTCACAGCTCTCAAGCAGAAGGTAGCAATGACCAATAGAACTTCCTAAATGCGAAAATGTTCTATATTTTACTGTCCAAGATGGTAACCACTAGCTATATGTAGCTATTGAGCACTTGAAATGTGGCTACTGCAACTGAGGAACTGAATTTTAAATTTTATTTAATCTAAATCAATATTGATTTAAAGTTTTACATTGAATAGCCACATGTGGCTACTATATAGGACAGTTCACTTGTTGCTCTAGAACAATGATATTGATTGCTTGTTGAATTGATTATTTTAAGACCAATAGCTGAGACAACAGTTCTTGACATGTAAAATCAAATTTTACGTTAAATAATAAGAACCTGGGGTTTGAAAGAGAAAGATTTTTGTTTTGTTTTCAACAAAATCTGGCTTTGCTTATCAAGAACCATAAATTCTAAAGACTAGAGGATGAAGTTTATACCCTATGCTGTAGAGAAGGAAGTATGCATGATACATTATAATGACTTTCTTGCTCAAAAGGAAAAAAGAGTTTAGCAAAAAAGAAAAGACTGTTTCTAGAGCTTAGATCTAGTGGATGCTCAAGAAAAGATCCTGACAAAGGATACGCAAGGATGGGGAGGGGTCGGAGGGAAGGGGGGAGGGGTCCCAGAACAGAAGGGACCTTTTGCCTGGGTCCCCCATGGGCTTGGCCCAAGTCTTGCATAGAGCAGACATAAAGAAGGAGATTAGCATGCCTAAGGGAGATGTTAGCACTGTGGAAAATGACGCAGCCTCCCAGAGACCAGCAGACAATCAAAGTGTGGAGGAATGCCTGAGCCCCAACATATTGGTGTCTAGGCAGGGTGCTGAGCAGCAGGCCAACCAGAAGAGGTCTGGGGTTGGACCAGCTAACCAACAACAGAGATGGGTGAGGTTGGCCACTCCTCCCTGACTGCCAGGATGATTTAGAAGCACCACCAGGAACTTGGGTCACCTCTGAGAGGAATGAAGGAGGAGACAGGTGTGGTGTGAGGCCTAAAATTAAGGTCCAATATTATATGCTGCCTTGACATCAGGTAAAGTCAGGAGGGCCTTGAATAGCCTAATCTCAGGTTCCCCACCCCACTCCAACCCCACAGGGGCCAAGTGCAGTCCCTGCATATTTCTGAGTAGTGGTTTCCGTTCTCTGTGTGGACAAAACAGGGGTGCTGTAATAAATCACAATTCCTAACTGGGCAGGTCATGGTGGGTAGTCATGCCCCAGGCCTATAACTATATATATATATTTAAATTGATTTTAGAGAGAGAGGAAGAGTGAGGGAGAGAAACATCAATAAGCTGCCTCCTGCACACGCCCCACTGGTGATTGAGCCCATAACACTGGCAACCTTTTGGTGCATGGGACGACACCCAACCAACTGAGCCATACCAGCCAGGGCTATAACTTCTTTAGTGAAGGTTTTTAAGCCAGCTCTGTCCATTGTTCTTGTGCATCTAGGCCAGTGGTTCTCAACCTTCCTAATGCCGCGACCCTTTAATACAGTTCCTCATGTTGTGGTGACCCCCAACCATAAAATTATTTTCGTTGCTACTTCATAACTGTAATTTTGCTACTGTTATGAATCGTAATGTAAATATCTGATATGCAGGATGTATTTTCATAGTTACAAATTGAACATAATTAAAGCATAGTGATTAATCACAAAAACAATATGTAATTATATATGTTTTCCGATGGTCTTAGGCGGCCCCTGTGAAAGGGTCGTTCGACCCCCACAGGGGTCGCGACCCACAGGTTGAGAACCGCTGATCTAGGCGAACACACCTTTGAAATGCCCCCTTTCATACCCCTATTACTAAAGTGTGCAAGGGAACACATAATCTCATTAACTATACTGCAACCCGATCCCCATCTTGCTCTCTCCCACCTTCATACAATCTTCCTTAGTTCTCTTCTTAATTTCAAATGCATCAAAGAAATGGCAAACTTTTATTTTCCAGAGCATTTGAGATCTTGTTCCCCAGCATGTGTCATCAATTCGGCTCAAATAAATACTTATAAAAATTCTCTACAGGTTTGCAGGTTTCTTAGGTAGACTCCCGCCAGACCACAAAATTATTTACCACAAAATTATTTAAATGAGCCAATTGTATCTATCCTCCCGTGGAAACCAGGGGACACCACGTCCTCTCTATGCACAAAGTCTGTTTCCCACAGCCCCTGGTTTTTCACTCTGTTCCCAAATGCAATTCCTCTGTGGCCCTGCATGGCATATAATATCCTCTTCCCCTCGCTGTGCCACAGAGAGGGAGAAACCAGGTATTAGGTGACCCTATGGGGCACTGTCCTAATGTCCAAGAGCTTCATCCTTCCCTGCCTCCCCCCAGTCTGTGGGAGCGTGCTGCTCTCATTCTAGCTCAGAGTTCAGTTCTTTCTTTTCAGACTCTGGAGAAGCCTTCAGTTTACATAAGCCAAAAGTTCCCTGGGGTAAACAATCATATTTGCTCAGAGCTGGTGAGTGCTGGGAAGGGCGAGGGCACTTCCCAAGCTTCCTGTCTCTTTGATTATCTAAGGATTTTTCCTTGTTTGCAGGTTCAGCACTAAATAAAATCAGCAAGATGGATGACATTTACTGTTCAGCTTCTCTTTTTCTCCCGGCTCTGGGCTCCGAAACTCCAAGTCAGAATTTGCAAGGAATTTACGTAGGGTAAAAAAGCAGGCCTAAGTCCCAGAAGTTCCTTTCGGATTCCAGTGATGCAGGGTTAGTAGGGGACTTCTCTTCAGAGTCCCCTTTTCTATCCTTACTGCTGCCTGGCACCCACCCAGTTCTCAGCTTTTGGGATCAAACGCACCTGGGTTCTGATTCTGGGCTGCCACTCTCTGGAATCGGCCACCTGAGTTGTTATAAATAAACGAATTTACCCCTGGCCTTGTAGGTATTACGTACTCAGACATAGGCCACAGTGCCCTCCATTCCTGCAGACGGAGTCTGCCAGGACCAAGTAAGCCCCACAAGGCAATTCCTGGGGGAAGGGGAATGGGTCCCCTGGGAGAACCATAGCAAGCTGAACCCCACATAGCAGAAATCCCCAAAAACCTTCTGGGATATAGTCCTATTTCTTCACCCTATGTAAATTCATTGCCAACTCTGACTTGGGGTTTCAGAGCCCAGAGGGCTAATGAATGGCCATCCTGACAAGTAGAGCCTTTAAATCCTACCTGCTTGACTAAGCTATAGTTCAGAAAGCTGTTTGTCAATAAAAAGAAAACAAATTAGCCGGATCCAGTCCCCTGATGCTCACAGTGTGGAAAAGGCAGAGTACAAAGAGCAAATATAGTTCAGTACAGTCCTCACACTTCCCTCCTCTATGGACACCCACACCTCACACTTCCATCCTCTATGGCAGCGGTTCTCAACCTGTGGGTCGCGACCTCTGAAAATACATCCTGCATATCAGATATTTACATTATGATTCATAACAGTAGCAAAATTACAGGTATGAAGTAGCAACGAAAATAATTTTATGGTTGGGGTTCACCACTACATGAGGAACTGTATTAAAGGGTCGTGGCATTAGGAAGGTTGAGAACCACTGCATGGACACCCACACTTCACACTTCCATCCTCTATGGACACTGCCGGTGGCGAGGAATCATCATCTGCAGGGAGGAGCACTCACTGCCTCCCAGGTCTTCCTCATTGGCTAAATACTCACACAGAGAACGAATCAAAGGATGTTAATTAATTTTGACAATTTAAGAATAAGGAGAGACCCTCAGGACTGACCTCTTTCCTTTCTACACAAAACATATTATTTATACTGGAAACATAGTGACCCTTAATCCAAACTAATTTTCTCATCAGTCATGATTAATTAACCAAATAAACATTCTTTTTATATGCAGAGTACTTAATACCTACAAGGCCAGGGTAAATTTATTTATTTATAACAACTCAGGTAGCCGATTCCATTGGCTTCAGAAGTACGGTGAAAACTCTGTTCTTTTGAAAGCTAGTTAAGGGCTGAAAACAATAAACAAAACTCTTGGAAAGGATCATCTTCAGAAGTATAAAAAATATTATTCCCAATAAAATCATCAGAATATTGAAAGCAGCAATTGTTATGCAAATTAACTGCACTGAAATCACATTTAATAAAATCAAGAGTATTATTATTCGACAAGAACACATTCCATACCCATGGGCTTTGTGGCAGAACACATTTGGTAGCCACAGTGTTCTGGATAGGGCTGTGCCCCTGACTATTTTAAGTTTGTTATCTGATCTCCCTCGATGGTCACTCAGAAACATCTGCCCTGCAGAATTTACTAGACAGGATTATCGCTCCAGCCCTTACCGGGTGAGGTGCCTCACTGCAGCATCAAATTGCAGAAACATAACCTCCCTTCGGAGCAGGAGTGCCTGGGACACCTGGGTGGGGTCTTGGGGACTCTCGAGGCTGTCAATCATTTTCTGCAGCCCTTGAAGCTCAGACACTGGAAGATGGACAACATTAGGAGATAGTGTGAAATATCAGCTACTTTAGCTAATCCAGTGAACCATCATTAACCTCCCAAAACAACTTTTTTCCTTTTCTCTTTGTGAGTAGCTAATTATGATTTGGAAGTCCAGAAAAACCTTATGTTCTAGAATCCAAGGTCTGTGTAGCTTTCCTTCCTTCCTTCGGAAGATAAAGACTTATTTTGCTTTTCAGCAGAATAAGGAAAGGCTTTTGATCTCTCTCTCTCTCTCTCTCTCTCTCTCTCTCTCTCCCTCTTGCAGTCTTTAACAAAAGGGGGAGATGCTAAATTGAGAAGACTCTCACATTATACTTTAAAATTCCCTCAAAATATAAGATAAAATTCCTTCAAATACTAAAACAAACAAACAAACAAATTCGAAAAGACTTCTGAAAGTTTTAAAATACATAAGGCTACAGTCTCTAAAAAGATTGAAAAAGACAAATTACAAGGAATAGGAAAATATGGGACTCAGTAGACTCCTTAGAGGCTTGAAATTATTATAGCCCAGCACTCATGTCTCATGGCCATGCCATCCAACCAGCCTTCTCTGTCACTGGCTCATCCTGCTGCTGGCTCTGGATTAAAGAAGACTCAAGCCGTCCAAGGCAAGCAAACAATATACACGCATAGATGTGTACATGCACACACACCCCCACTTCTAGGAGATTCTTGTCATTTAGGGAGTAGATGACAAGAGACCCAAAATTGGCTTATTTCTTGGACTCTTACTGCAAAAGTAGGCTGCGTATCAGTAGATTTAATAGTATATGTGTTTTGGGTGGAAATTTAAGTTAGGGACCTTTGGGGGCACTCAATGCTCGATTGAAGAAACTGGCCTGGGTCTAGATCAGTGGTTCTCAACCTTCCTAATGCCGCGACCCTTTAATACAGTTCCTCGTGTTGTGGTGACCCCCAATTTCATTGTTACAAATTGAACATAATTAAAGCACAGTGATTAATCACAAAAACAATATGTAATTATATATGTGTTTTCCGATGGTCTTAGGCGACCCCTGTGAAAGGGTTGTTCGACCCCCAAAGGGGTCGAGACCCACAGGTTGAGAACCACTGGAGATGGTCTCTGTGATGGTCCAGGAAAGGAGCTGGTCAGAAGGGGAGAGCGCAACAAGAAAAGGATGAGCCCTTAGGGAGCACAGGG